CTATACCTTTTGATAGTGGGCACCATCAGCTTTCTTCACATTTTCTTATGTACTCATTTTGTCTTCAGCGATTGTGTCAGGAGGTAATATACAATGCCACATTATTAGTACAAACCATTCTCGTACTGAGGCAAGATTTAGGCAGAAGTCCAACATCCATCTGCTTCCTTGTTACATATACACTGCTGAGGGAAAGAAAAATAAGTTGGAAGTGTCCTTACCTATACCTGGATGATCGGCAACAATGGTTACTCGATATTCTTTGCAAAACACCTGGTAGGCAGACATGTTCTTCTTCTTTGGCTAGTGTCAGGAAGAAAATAGAAAACAGTAAAAGATAATGAGAACACCTGTTTAGCAACCCGGATCTTTAGTGATAAAATTAAGGATTCCAATACTTTTTCATCAAGGACAAGAATTCCAAACCACTGAGTAGCTTTCTTAAACAGGGAACCAATTCCTAACGCACATTATTTATCACTCAAGAGACGAATGTCCACTTTACTTCTAGAAGGCAAAAACCCTACGCTAAATTCTTTTTGGATTTCTCAGGTTGTTGCAGCCACATGAGTATTAGTTGTCAAGTGATGGATGAGCTGGTCATCCTGGTGGTACAGCACACATTCTGCCTACATACACTAAGATCTTTGCCTCACCCAGGCACACCTACTCTTCTCACTTTTCAAAATAGGAAACCAGTGAGAGCCGTAAAACTGGTACTTCCCCTTAAATGTTGCTGCCAGAAAGTCAGGAGCCAAAGCCGCGCTCCTTTGTCTCCTGGATTTGATTTCTAATCTTGTCACTTCTCCGACCCTCTTTGGCTGCTACTTGCAGCTTATCATTAATTCATGTTCTTTGGCTCAAGATGGGAAGTACATAAATAACTGAGGATACTTTCTGGTAGTCAATTCAAGAAGAACCTCTTCTATTTTAACCTTAAACTGCTTGGTCAGTATGACTTAAAACAGGTTTGTTTTTCACTGTGTTTCGACACATTCCAAAAGCAAAGGCCAACTTTTGAGAAACAAAAATATGTTCTTTAGGTCAGTTCAATGAGGGGGATGTATCCCATTTTACAAAGTATCCCCAGACTGGGTGGGGAGTCAGTTTTCCTGCCCAGAAAGGTGCATTAGGTAGCCTCTGTCTAAGCCTCTCCTTTTGCTGATGAGAAAGAGAAACTGTGAAGAACAGGCAGCCGAGGGTCTGACACCTCAGCCAGTGACGGCACCAGCGCAGCTCCCATCGGGCTGTGCAGTGCGCGTGCTAGGCTTGCACAGGGCCACAAGGGAAAATATGTTGCTTTCTTCTAGAAAAAGTTACTATTGAACAAAGAAAAGTGTTATCATTTTATAATCTGTATCTGATAAAATGAGAATTTTTGTTCTGTAAGGTTTTCCTTCAAAATTTATCTGGGAGCATCAAAATATGACCACTAGTCTTTTGGCCCCTTCCAAAGTGACTCTTCTCTGGCCCTGTAGTTCTTATGATGTCAGTATTTGCCACTTTGAAACTTACCGGGCACTTACGAGCAGAACCCTGACACTAAATCCAAGCTGCCATCTCACTATAAAAGGAAACTACATTGAAGACAAATGGGTGCATAAGCAAATGTGGCGAAGAAAGCTGATGGTGCCCGGCTATCAAAAGATATAACGTCTGGGGTCTTAAAGGCTTGAAGGAAAATAAGCAGTCATCTAGCTCAGAAGCAACAAAGTCCACATGGAAGAAGCATACCAGCCAGTGGGATCATGGGGTGTCGAAAGGATCAGGTATCAGGCATCATCAGAACAAAAAATCTTACCATAGTGAATGAGGGGGGGAGTGCGAAGTGGAGACCCAAAGCCCACTTGTAGCCCACTGGACATCCCCTTACAGAAGGGTTTCGGGGAGGAGACGAGCTAGTCTGTGTGCGATGTAGCAATAATGAAAAATACAACTTTCCTCTAGTTCCTAAAGGCATCCCCCACCCCCCCAGTATCATGATTCCCAATTCTACCTTGCAAGTCTGGCTAGCACAGAGGATGTACACTGGTACAGATAGGAACTGGAAGTACAGAGAATGCAGGGTGGATGATCCCTTCATGACCAGTGGTGCGAGTGGCGATACTGGGAGGGTAGCGGGAGGATGGATTGGAAAGGGGAAACCGATTCCAAGGATCTACATGTGACCTCCTCCCTGGGGGAGGGACAACAGAAAAGTGGGTGAAGGGAGACGTCGGACAGGGCAAGATATGACAAAATAATAATTTATAAATTATCAAGGGTTCATGATGGAGTGGGGAGCGGGGAGGGAGGAGAAAAAATGAGGAGTTGATGCAATGGGTTTAAGTGGAGAGCAAATGTTTTGAGAATGATGAGGGCAAGGAATGTACAAATGTGCTTTATACAATTGATGTATGTATGGATTGTGATAAGTTGTATGAACCCCGAATAAAATAATTAAAAATTCAATAGAAAAGAAAGCAGAAAATGTTCAAAACTAGACAAACAAAAAAGGAAACTACAGACCAACAGCACTCATGAACAGATGGAAAAATTCTCAACAAAATCCTAACCCATAGAATCCAACAATAAATCGTGCGCAAAAATGTTACTCTGCCCTAATAAAATGTTAAAAAAGAGAAGGAAAAAAAAAAAATGAGGACCTAATGCCAGGGGCTTAAGTGGAGAGGAAATGATTTGAGAATGATGAGGGAAATGAATTTACAAATGTGCTTTACACAATTGATGTATGTATGGATTGTGATAAGAGTTGTATGAGCCCCTAATAAAATGATTTTTTAAAAAAGAAAAAAAAAATGTTACTCTGCCCTTTGTTTGCCTTCAGAGTAAGATTTCATGACCCATCCTATAGCCCACAAATGCAGTCTTGTCCCTGACGTGAGAGCTGCACATTGTTTTAAACCAGTCTGATCTCACCACTTAGTTCACCTAACTTCTTTCTTTTTGTCTTTTAGTTGCTTCCATTAAAAAACTGATCTTCAAAGGACCAAGATTCACAGAGGCTGATGATGATAAAAAAACTTGTATGGGGCTCTAGTTTAATTCCAGAAGGAATTCTGACATAATTTGTTCCTTAAACAGCTCCAAGGTGTCTTCCTTGAACGAGAAAGCAATTGGATATAAACAATGTGGTGTGTTTGTTAAAAACTTAGCATCAAAATTGCATTCCCCTCTTTTAAAAATGGTTCTCCATAGGTTGATTTAATAAAGTATACAATGAAAGAATTCTTTGTAGAAGGCTGCAAACTCTCAACTGCAGAGCCAATCATACTACTAAATACTGGGGTAGGATATATGTGTGAAAAATTTCACTGCCCACTGGCTATAACTTTGCAAGGAGTTTAACAACGCTTTCTCAAACACTATATACTATGAAGGATAATGCTCACTATTTACAAGGTTGTCTTTACAGTTGTAATATAAAATTAAAAAAATGAAATTTTATTGCTGAAATGGCAAATGTTTTGTTATACATTTAGCACAATTTTTAAGTTATTAAATTCTCATAACCAAAAAATTAAACCAATCCAACCAAGTTATTAAATCTTTCAAAGTATTGAAATCACAACTCTTGGACAATATATGAATGCTAGATTCAAATTTATACTGGAGAAAGGGATTTCCCTACAGCTTATACAGGACTTTATTCAACTGTGTGGCATCCACCAGCCCGGGTTCTCATCCAAGGGGTGGGGCCGCCTCCAGGCTCACAGGGTAATTGTCAGCTTTCAGTTCTGTGTGGTTGTAGAACTCACACCCTTTTTTGTTCAGGGACAACAGTGTCTATTGTTGCTTGATTCTTTTAAGGGCTAACTTTAGTCACACCCACTCAGGATAATCTCACTTTAATTCCAACTAGGATTCAATTTATTAAGAAACTTAATTACAACTGCCAAATCCCTTGTGCCATATATGTAGCATCATCATGGAAGTGAGAGCCCATCGTGAAGAGGAGTGCATACACAGGATAAGTATGCCACGAACTGGGGTCAGAGGGACCATCATGGGAGTCTGCCCACAACAGAAATAATAGGATTAGGTAACTAATGCAGGGCCGACCCCTATTGATTCTTTCATACCTCTGAGTTAAGTGGCCTACAAGGAAACAAAGGCTCAAGGAAATGAAGTACTGGGTGGAACTAGTAAGAGAGCAGGGTTGGGATTCTAACCCTTTGACCCCAGATATACCTCTGATCACCCTGCTGCACCACAGCGGAACTCCTGCTTCCCTCCTGACATGCCACTCTGATACTGGGCTTCTGCTTCTTCAAATACCTGAATTGCTTCTAGGATGCAGACCCAGTCTGTGGGCCCTACCTACTTCTCTATCACCTCTGCCCCTCTCCCTGTTGGGACTGTGGCCACATCTTCTTCCCTTTGCCTAAAATACTCCTAATAAATTGAATCCCAGTCAGAATTAAAGTGAGATTATCCTGAGTGGGTGTGACTAAGGTTAGCCCTTAAAAGAATCAAGCAACAATAGACACTCACTGTTGTCCCTGAACAAAAAAGGGTGTGAGTTCTACAACCACACAGAACTGAAAGCTGACAATTACCCTGTGAGCCTGGAGGCGGCCCACCCCTTGGATGAGAACCCGGGCTAGTGGATGCCACGAGTTCAGTCTAGAGAAACACTGAGCAGCGTCCTACCCAGACTGCTGACCTACCCCAGTGAGGGACAGTAAACGGACACTGGTTTTCACTGTGATCATCTGTCATAGGAACAAATCTGAACTCCCTTCTAGTCCCTCTGTATTTTTCAAGATAGAAAGTTGCGGCCTCAAAAACCAATTACTGGCCTTGCATTTGAAATCATGCAGAAATGTTTTTGAGAGAGTGAGAGAGACTATCCACTGCTCATTCATTTAAAAAGTGTCAATACTGTGGAAAAATTTCAACCCCCAAGTTTGAAATCCCGAGTTCCAGATCCAGAGAATGGAGTTGTTGGGTGGTTAAGTTCTACCAGTCAGCAGGTGAGATGAAACTGTAAATAGAATTTCCCTTGAAAATCCCTCAAGGCATCTCACTTAAACAGCCACTAGATTCTCAGTCCAGCACAGCTAGATTTCACTCTAGAATTTCTCAGGCAAGAAACCCAGTGGTTACATATGGAATAATATGGATTCTACCCATATATTTGATAAGTGCGTTTTGAAAACTTTATAATGAGTAGCAGATTACTTAAAAGTCCACTTATAGACTGTGAGTCAAATGCTACAATTTTACAGGTATGGGCCTCCTTTTGCACGTTTCCTGAGATGTGCCACAACACAGACCTTTCAATGTGACCCTTCATGCTC